TAAGCGCCTCTCCCTCTCGCTCCTCTTCCTCCTTGTTTTCCTTCTCTCGCTGGTTTTTCTTTTGGGTTTCGCCTCTTGAGCGCATCACCGGCGAGTTCAAAGCGACCGCCGCTCATCTGGATCCCATTTGGAGCTTGTCGTTCTCCTCACGTCACTGACAGCCCGCCATCTGGGAGCCATTTGCCTTAATTACCCAGGATCCTCCACTGCGCCCCCCCTCTGAACATACCCTCACCGATCTTACCAACCCCGCCTCCCCTCTAGACCAATAAAACTACCCACGCTCCCCTGTGTGGAGAGAACCACTCCAGAGTGGGTGGAGGGGGAGAGAGAGAGAGCAGCATTCATTAAAGACCAATAAAAGGAGGAGAACGAGTGTATAAGACACAGGAAGTCAAGGAGAGACAGGCTGGTTTGAGGCAGAATATTCCCCAAACGTTCAGATCTTTCTAGACGCCCACCCACTTTCACATAGCGATCCTGGTTAGCGTGTGGTTTGCAATGCCTGCTTGGACCCAAACCAAAAACCCGAAGGAGGCTTCCTTCAAAAATGCACACACACACACACACACACACACACACACACACACACACACACACACACACACACACTTTTAATAACACCACCCACCGGCGGTGATTAAGTGGCATGTGGAAGTGGCCAGGCTCCAGTTTGATCCCGGCACAATGGAAAGCTGGGAATCATTTGAAGGCCTGCGAGCGTTTCAGACGACAATAAACACCTCCACTGATACAGGCTGGCAGACGGCAGAAGGGGAAGACCAGGAGAGGGGAAAAACCTCCGCAATATTGATCCTCAAAGCACAGCCATATGAAGACCAGTGAAGGCTGAGCTCTCCCTCCTGAACTCTGAGCTGAAGGTGAACACATCTCCAGACAGTTTCTGCTCATCATAAAGTGGTGTTATTCAGCGCTGTATGACTAACGTTCACTCTCTCTTTTCACTTTTCTGCTGCTGCTGATGATGATGATGGTGATGATGATGATGATGATGATGATGATGGTGATGATGATGATGATGATGATGATGGAGTCGTCTGCAACGCTTTCCTCCATTCTCATCATTTAAACTCAGTGCCGGATATAGTACACACTCTTCTTAGTTCTACATATCATTATCCTCTGCACGTGTGTAATCATTATTGCAGTGTGTCCCTGCTGCTCACTGTCTGCTTTTAGTCTTGCCTCTTGGCCAGCTCATGATTGTAAATGAGAGTTTAAACATTCATTCATTTCCCTTTGGCTAGTCCCTTTATTAAGGGGTCACCACAGCGGAATGAACCACAAACTACTATAGCATATGTTTTACGCAACCCAGTACTGGGAAACACCCATACACACACACACACTCATACACTACCTCTTCAAGCAGGCTTTTTTGGTCCACTTTTGGTGAACACTCGAATATGATCGCTTCATTCACACCTGCCCGAATCAACAACACTGTAGTGCGATTCAACCCGACTGAATAAGGCAGGTGTGAGAGCCTCAGTGATCCAGCACTATATGAGAGACTTGCTCTGTTTACCAAACGCGTGGATCTCCCTGCACTAAAATGATTTAAAAGTGATTGTGTTATGGTTGATGTTTTAAGTGTTAAACTCCTATCCTTACACAATCACTCTGCATAAAGCTGCATTTATATTCACTACTAAATTCTTCTGATGAAGTCCCGACTGGACCTGTGGTCAGCACATGGAACAATCTGAATCAACTGAATGAAAAGTGCAAGAAAGATTGTGAAAGCAGTACCTGAAGGCAGCCAGGTACTCCGCATCCGCCATGGGAGGCTCCAGTCCACCGGTCCACGCCACATTAACATTGAAGCCCTCGCCGGCACCAGAACCCACCTGGGACGAATCAAACACACACACACACACACACACACACACACACACACACACACACACACTGCTGTTAAATCTGCAACACACACAGTGTTGGCTCTCCAGCGTGTGTGCTGCAGGCTATCATGCAGATACAGCTGCTTGCGCAACAGTGACAGACTGAAAGCTTGAGTCTGAGGGGGATCTGAGAGCTTACACGGCCTCACAACAACACACTGCAGAGAGTAACCCTCAAACACAGGCAACAATCGCAGGATTTCAGAGGATGGAGACTACAAACATGACGAATGATCTGCCAGAGCGGTGAGATTATTATACCGGTATACTGGTTTCTTGACTTGAGTATTTTGATTACTTCTCCATATACACTGAAGCTTACTGCAGGAGCATATCCCAGAATGCATTTAGCCGTTAAAGCATAGGCATGAGTGAGATTAAGCATTTTTAATAAGTCATTACAGCTAAAATGAAGTCTAAAAGCACAAGGCTGCTGTATTGTAAGCATGCTGAAACGCCTCACTTTAAGCTTTACTGAGTAAGAAACCCAAGATAAACGATCTTCAGTCAGTCATGATGATGTCACACGATCTGATCCACAAGCTAGATCAACGAGAGTTCCTGTCCAGAAATGCGACTCACTGTTGAGCTGATAAGGAGATGTAAAGAAGCTAAGGAGAGTTGTGTTTCTCTGGATAGTCAATAATGTGAGTGTGCAAACCTCTGCTGGTCCTCCACTGCCGGGGAAGAAGTTTCCGTTATCGTAGCGATGCAGAGAGATGTAGAGGACGCTGGGGTCATTGTAGAAGATCTCCTGAGTGCCATTGCCATGATGAACATCCTGAAGGGTCGAGGAGATGCAATCAGATTATATAACAGTGTACATACAGAGGATCTTTGAGTTTGAGCTGAGAACAGCACACAGATGATGTCCTCCAGCTCTCTGACACTGACCCTTTCAGGCTTCGATGCTAATCGTGGTGTTTTGGTGACTGTCGCTTTAAATGCAAATGAGATTGTGCTCTTAAAGAAGAGGGCGGAGCTACAGAATGCTTATACTTTACAATAAATCCTCATAAGTCAGCAATACATATCCCTCAGTGTCAGATTATTCTGCTTGTTTCTCTCTTCAGTCTGACTCATTATTCCTGTACAGCACTGGATTCATCACTCGTCTGGGAAATGCTGCTTGATGTAGGAGTTTGTAGATATTTGGAGTAAATATGAGACTGAAGCTCTCAGTAAGAGCGGTGTGTTTGCAGCGCACAGATGTAAATGAGTGTGTGTTTACTGCAGTGTGTGTGGAGCTCTCACCCAGTCAACGATGAGGATTTTACTGGCGCTGAGCTTCTGCTGGAGCTGTTTAGCAGCGATCGCCACCGAGTTGAAGAAACAGAAACCCCTGAGAAACACAGAAGAGATGCAGTCAGGCCTGCCAGCACACCACAAGCCAACAACTACTGCAAACCCAACAGCAGAGTGTGTGGAGCATTCTCCCACAGCAGAACTCAACACATGCAGACACTGCCGACACACACTCACTGTAGGAGACGTCTGAAGACCCTGCAGTAAACACAGCGCACTACACTGGACAATAATAATGTGCAGACACTGCCGACACACACTCACTGTAGGAGCTGTAAGATGCAGAACGCAACACACGACACTGGATGATAATAGTGTGTGTGAAGCTCCAGCAGATGATCAGGCAGGTTTAACATATATACACTCTCAAAAACACACTTTTACATTTATTCACTCTCACACACACTCTCATAAGCACGCACACACAAACACACTCAAACACAATTTCACTCAGACACACACACACACTGTCATACACTCGCACATACACAGAGACACACACACACTTTCGCATATGTATACACTCTCGGACACTTACATGTACACACACTTACTTTCATACATACAAACACAAACACACACACACACACACACACACACACACACACACACACACACTATCTCTCTCACATACACAAACAGACAAAAACACACTCATGCACACACAAAGACAAACACACACAGACACACACAGACACAGACGTGCTGACGCTGCAGCTGAATGCGAGGTGACAGAGTGCACATGTGCAAACACAACACCCACGTCAGACAAACATAACACACACACACACACACACACACACGCACACGCACACACACACACATACACACACATACACACACACACGCGCACATGCACAGGAAGGAGAACTGACCTCGTCAGCACAATAAATAAAGCCAAACTCACATGCACAACACTACAGCTGATCTGTGCTCACGGACACACACACACACACACACACACACACACACACACACACATACACACACACACACACACTGTGTCTATAATCAATACCATGCAGGGTATAGAGCACAGGAGGGGGAGATTAATCTGGTTAATGATATAAGTGATGTGACGTGTTCACGAAGGGTCTAAACAGAATGTAGAGACTCAAAGGTTTCAGGTTCTGAAGACGATGATCATGATCGAGGCGACAATTCACACAGGCTCATCAAAACTGGAGAAACGTTGCCTGCTCTGATGAGTCTCCATTTCTGCTGACACATTCGGATGGTCAGGTCAAAATTTGGCCTCAACAACATGAAAGCATGGATCATCCTGCCTTGTATCCGCGGTTCAGGCTGGTGGTGGTGGTGTAATGGTGAGGGGGAGATTTTCTTTGGGTCCATTAGTACCAATTGAGCATCAACGCCACAGCCTACCTGAGTATTGCTGCTGACCATGTCCATCCCTTTATGAGCACAGTGTCTCCATCTTCTGATGGCTACTTCCAGCAGGATAACGCAGCATGTCATAAAGCTCAATCATCTCAGACTGGTGTCTTGAACATGACGATGAGTTCACTGTACTCAAATGGCCTCCACAGTCACCAGAGCTCAATCCAATAGAGCAGCTTTGGGATGTGGTGGAACGGGAGATTGGCATCATGGATGTGCAGCCGACAAATCTGCAGCAACTGTGTGATGCTATCATAGAGCAAAATCTCTGAGGAATATTTCCAGTAGCTTGCTGAATCTACGACACCAAGAGTTAAAGCAGGTCTGAAGGCAAAAAGGGGGTCTAGTACGGTGTACCTAATAAAGTGGCCGGTGAGTGTATATATGCTGTTCTGCTTAGCTGAATATCTGCCAGTAGACAATTCTGTCTTTTGAGTTGTATTTTAACTTGTGTGTGATCATTGTTGCACCACTGCAGAAGGGCTGTGTGTGTGTGTGTGTGTGTGTGTGTGTGTGTGTGTGTGTGTGTGTGTGTGTGTGTGTGTGTGTGTGTGTACTGCAGACTTACATGGGGTTTGAGGGGTCTGCGTGATGTCCCGGTGGCCTGACCACAGCAAAGCCATTCTGAAAGATGGAAAGCAACATGTGATTAACTCCGCATTGAGCAGTTCCTCTCACACAGACAGCGTGCAGCAGAGTTCAGCTCCAGCAGTAAAGGCTTTCCCTGAGACCTTCATTATGGTTAATTAGCAGCAGGGATTGGGCTCGTTATGCCTTCATCAGTCTGATCTGCTGCTGTTGTTACTCGATTCATTTTTATGTGGAGCGACGATAATTGCCGAGGCCCTCTGAAGGAAACGAGCGCTCCACTCTGATTGGTCGACGCATGATTTGAGTGTTGACTGATGCTGCATTAATGAGATGTCGGAAAATAAATACATGCATGTGGAGGAAAACGACTGCTCATCAACTTTTACACAACAAACACATTACAATTGATTACTGATGTTCTAGATGAGTCTAAGCAAATAAAGACATAACATAATATTAGTAGTAGTAGTAGTATTATTATTAGTGTTATTGTTATTGTTATTATTATTTTATTAATACTATTATTACTATTATTATTATTGTATTATATTATTATTATTTTAATAATTGTTATTATTTTTATTATTGTTGTTGTTTTATTTTGTGTTTTGTTTCTAGTCCAAATATCTGCAAACTCTGAAATCAAGAAGCTAGACTAGCAATAAATATAGTAAATAATAAATATAGCAAAATAACCTGTCAATGGGGGAAGCAGAATAATCTAGTTCTTCATTTTGGCAGAACACTATTTTCCTTCCCTCATTGTCAGATTATTCTGCTTGTTTTAATGAGAAACTCGCTTCATTCTCACTCATTATTTCTGATAACAAGACTATATTTATTTCTTGTCTAAAAACACTTCTTGATTTAAGAATTATTATATTTTGACCAGAAACAAGACACAAACTCTGCGTAAATACAGCGCTTGTGTTTTGCAGTGTGTGCTTCAGTCTGATAGTAGATGTGCTTCATAATGAGTGATGAATTAAAGCAAGAAGAGGCATGCAGCGTGACGAAACACTGTGATAAACAAAAGTCTCTGTTTATCCCAACGCTGCTTTAATGAAGAGCCATTGTCAGACATGCGCTGTCCTGATCCACAAGCCTCAATCCTTCTGTGAATCGACCGATTGCATCTTTAGAGAGCAGTGGCATCAGAAGACATGCTGAAGAGCAAACATGAGCTGCTTCCCAGTGTGGTGTTGTTCACATGCGTCTCAGTCTGCATGCTCTGGCAGCACAAATCAAGTTCTAGTCAAATCTACTTGAAGGAACAGCATGTGTCTTTACCAATAGAGGGCACGTGTATTCACAACAAACAAATGCATATTGAGATGATGCATGGGTGTGGAATCATGGGACTCCGACAGAAATCCTGATTTAAAAGGGTAGTCCACCCCAAAATGAAGCTTCACTCACTATCAACCCTCCCTCATTGCAGCACACTATTGCAGTCAATAGTCTGCTGAGCAAGACTACTCAGAATATAACGTTCCCACAGGTTTGTAGTAAAGTGATGGCACAGTGTGGGCGAACTCTTCCTCTGAGCAGTGATGTAATGCTGTCTAACACACACCAACACACCCTGTCAAGATTTAAAGAGATGAAGACAACCATCCGAGATCTTCCAGCACACTTCATACACAAATACACTCCAGTCCACATCTATTACTAGCAGATGCAAACACATCTCGATTTCTGAAAGGACACTACGCACATATATAGAGCTACTTTGAAATGATAATCATGGTGAAAATCTCAGTACTAATCAGCTTGAGTTTGTGTGTGTAATAATGTATTATGCCACTGGTTTAGTAGTTTGTGTAGGAAAAGCTCATCCTGATTGCGCTATGTTAGAGCCATTTCTGTCTTGGTGGATTTCAGGGTCTTTGCCACTGCCCCTCTGCTTAACTGGGGTTTAAAATATGCTCACTGTAGCTCATGTAATAGCATACTGAATAATGACCCTGTTCTCAGTGCTGTTGAGCTAGTTTGCATTGATTCTGTCACTTCTCTAATGTATAATGTGTATTAGAATAAGCACAATACAGGTAAAAGTGTCTCGACTGGAACTGAACCTGCAGAGCTGTGAACTGTGATGGAGCAGGACTGAAGCGCTGCCCAGTAAAGCAGCACATGGCTCATTTATGCTAGTCTAGTCGTCTTCTTTAGTTGACAGTTAGCTGGAGTTACACTACATTAATGCATGTCATGTGCCCTCTCTGTACATGTGCTTTTGCATAGTGAAGACGACTGCATCATTCACAAGTCTCTGTTCTGTTTACACCCGGGGCTTTTGTCAAATGCAATCACAGGTGAGCGACTCTAAACACAAGTGTAAACAGGATCTACTGTGTTGGAGCTCAGCTCTGCTGTTATTATACAGCTGCTCGAGTAGTTTGTGTGGGAAAGACGGCACTGATCTGAGGTCTTTTACCTACAGTTGTAAACAGAAACTACATGTTGTGCGTGTGTGTGTGTAAATGCATTCAGTCGCTCCACACGGTTTGGGATGGAAGATGTGAACGAGCCTTAACAAGTCAGTTTGATGAAGCAGTTGAAATGAGCAGACCTTGAGTTCTCCTTTAGCCACTCTGAAGGCCAGCTCCGTCACGCTGCCGGCCGCCATGCGGGAAGCTGTGGACGTGTGCATCTCATTCCAGATGGTGTCATTGTCCACCTGCACAAACACGAGCAGAGTTAGCAAAGAAACCTACTCGGAGGAACAGCATGGCCACTAGAGGGGGTTTACTCATGACAAACAACAGCATGTGTTGATGATGTGTGGGTCATGGCAGATGTGGGGTTACGGGACTACTGAAATCATGTTGATGATGAGTGAAGTCTTCAACACTTATTATTATGCCAGTATGAGCAGAGGAAGACTGAGAGAAGAGAGATGCTGCAGTCAATGTTGCGGTGACGCCTTTATTCTGTAAGTTAGCATTATTCTGCTTTCACACACACACACACACACACACACACACACACACACACACACTCTCTCACTAACTGTTAATTTCTCTGGACTTCTCAACACATTTGGGATGATGCGAGTGCATATATCCACAAACACTACATTACACTGCTCTATGCACTGCAGAAATGCTGATCTTAAGAGTGTCAGTCTTGTTTCTAGTGCAGATATCTACAATATCTCAAATCAAGAAGCATTTTCTAGACATGTTAGAGAATATAATGAGTGTAAATGAAGAGAGTTTCTCTTTAATATAAGCAGAATAATCTGACACTGGGGAGGAGAGGTCATCGTGTTCTTGATTTACCACTCATTCTCTCTCCTCATTGTCAGATTATTCTGCTTGTTTTCAGGAGAATCTCCTCATTTAGACTCTTTATTTCTGAAAACAGCGCTACATTTATCACTCGTCTAGAAAAAGCTTCTTGATGTAAGAGTGTTTTAGCTATTTAAAGTAGAAGCGAGACACAAACGCCCAGTAAGAGCAGCATTTATTATTGAACAAATCGTCCTGTATTTACTCTTTATTGCAGCATGATGAGCCCCACAGCTGCTGGCTCACACTGCTTCATGTGCATTAAACCCAAATCATTTGGTGAAGGTTTCTCAGTGTAGACGCCTCCACCCAAACTCTGGCTCTCGTAATCCCCCAGCGCCGCGCACATGACAGATAATGGATGTCAGTCACCCATCCTGCCAGAAGCACATGATGTAGCTGGATTGTGCTGGCGTACACGAGCACATTTATCATCATGACAGCCGCGATCAGCGTGCATAAATCTGCAAAGCCGCAAACAGCGGTTCAGCTGAAGGGCATGACGGATGCCAGCGCTACACACTGCACAACGGGCACTTCTGGAAAAACGTCTGCTCAAACACTGCAGAAACACTGCCTTCACTAGTGTCTGCCTCGGTCTGGAGCAAACATCTACACACTCTTACATCAAGAAGCATTCTCTAGACCAGCAGAGCAGACGGAGCTTTTCAGACGTCATGAGGAGAGTTTCTGCTCATCTGCCAATGGGGACGCAGAATAATCTCATGTCAAAATGAAAACTGCGGTGGCGCAGGGGTTAGCACTGTGGCCTCACAGCAAGAAGGTCTCTGGTTTGAGTCTCGGCTGGGTCAGTTGGTGTTTCTGTGTGGAGTTTGCATGATCTCCCCGTGTTGGCGTGGGTTTCCTCCGGGTGCTCCGGTTTCCCCCACAGTCCACTGTAGAGTTAGTGTAGATCTAGAATCAGGACTCTTCTCTCCTCTGTTTGTTGTGGTGTACTTTAACCATCTCACTCTTTAAGCTAATCAATAAACTGAGCATTACAGAATCAGAGGGATCAGTACCGGCTGATGATGCAGATGGAGACGCTGCAGCATTATGACTCGATGTGTTTACGCAGCTCTATTAGTATAACGGTCAGTCATGCGAGCTCCAGTATTTACATGCTTATTTTTGTTGTAAGCATCCACA